AAGAGGGAAGATGATCAGGACAGAAGGAGTTGAAGTTCCAGAAGGCCAAATAGAAGATGTAGAGAGCAGCTGCAAGTACCTGGGGGTACCACAAACGCATGGCAACCATGAGGAAGAAGCAAGGAGGATAGCAACATCCAAGTACCTTCAAAGAGTCAGACAGGTCCTGAAGTCCCAGCTCAATGGCAAGAACAAGATCCAAGCCATCAACACATATGCCCTACCGGTCATCAGGTACCCATCTGGAACAATAACCTGGCCAAGAGAAGAACTGGTCACCATGGATGTCAAGACCATGAAACTACTCACTATGAATGGAGGATTCCACCCGAAATCCAGCACCCAGAGACTGTACACCTGCCGGAAGGAAGGAGGTTGGGGCCACAGTCCTGGATGAAACCCAGAGAATGCCTGAGACTTCCACAGTTTGAGGATGCAGAAAAAGAGGAGGTTCCTTGGCAAGACAAACCTCTACATGGGGTGTACCACCGGCAGATAGTGGATGTGGCTCACATGACAAAATCCTACCAGTGATTGGAAAAGGCAGGCCTGAAAGACAGCACCGAGGCTAATCCAAGCAGCACAGGAGCAGGCACTCAGCACCAGATTAATAGAAGCTGGAGTCTACCACGCCAGGCAAGACCCAAGGTGCCAACTGTGCAAAAAGACCTCTGAGACAGTACAACACCTAGTAGCCGGATGCAAGATGTTAGCAGGAACAGCATACACGGACAGACACAACCAAATCCTGGGTTTGTGTACCGAAACATCTGCACAGAATATAGATTGGACTTGGCTAAGTCCAGATGGGAGATACCACCAAGGGTAGTTGAGGGTAGTTGAGAATGACAGGGCTAAGATCCTGTGGGACTTCAAGATCCAGACAGACAAGCAAGTGCTGGCCAACTAACCCGACATCGTGGTGGTAGACAAGGAACGAAAGACTGTAGTCGTGTTGGATGTGGCAATATCCAGTGACTATAACATCAGGAAGAAGGAACATGAGAAGGTGGACAACTGCCAAGGACTGAAAGAAGAGCTAGAAAGTATGTGGAAAGTGAAGGCAGTAGTAGTCCCAGTTGTGATAGGAGCACTCAGGGCTGTGACTCACGATTTGGGGGAGTGGCTTCAAGAGATTCCAGGTGGGACATCTGAGATCACTGTCCAGAAGAGTGCAGTTCTAGGGACAGCAAAGATACTGCGCAGAACCCTCAAACTCCCAGGCCTCTGGTAGAGGACCTGAGAATGAGGAATAAACAAGTATACTCACATGTACAACTGAGCTTCCTGACAGGCAATCTCATTGGTACACACAAGTTCTTTGCTGTCCAATGGGTGGGGGTGGGAGGGGGACAGGGACTGTAGTGTGCGTAGAGGAGCTGCAATCTGGGGGATAGGGGCTGTGGTGTGGGCAGAGGGGCTGCAGAGTGGTGCGGTGGTGATAAGGGGAAAAGTATAAAAATAAGTTATTCTCCCCTCCCTGCGGCTTACCTTGGTCCAGGGAGAGGGGAAATCTTGTGGCCTGGCGGGACCATTTGCCTGCCCCCTTATCGGGTGCAGACAGCCTCTTCCGGATGGCACCTGGAAGGTTTTCCAAATGTTGCTCTGGTAACCCCAGCAATGCTCTCATACAGTATTACCGTGGCAGGTTCTCTGGATTCCTCCTACCTGGCTGTGCAGAGATCCCTTGCTGTCCACTGTCTGCTCATGGCCATCTCAGCTATTACTTCTCGGAGGGTGGGGGGAAACTTGCCCTGGTTCCCCCCGGATCCACCCTTGAACTAGCTATGTGGAGCACAGGTATAAATTGGGAGTCGAGGTGCCCTCATTCAAAGGATATTGTCACAAATAGGCGATACTTGTTCAGTAAACCGTCTCACATGCTCACTTACTCATACTTTCTGGAGCTAAATGGCTACTTGTTGTAAATGTATTGTCCAGGTCGAACACGCATTCACAAAATGGAACTGACCTTAAGGTATATCTATTATAAATTGTAACTATTTACTATAGATCCAATACTTTGTAATTAATTACAACTGATCCAATACTTTGTAACTAATTACAACTGATCCAATACTTTGTAACTAATTACAACTGATCCAATACTTTGTAACTATTCACAACTGATCCAATACTTTGTAACTAATTACAACTGATCCAATACTTTGTAACTAATTACAACTGATCCAATACTTTGTAACTAATTACAACTGATCCAATACTTTGTAACTATTCACAAAGAGGATTGCAGACTGGGTCCCAGTGCAGCTGACACTGCATTGTATGTAACACTTCTAGTGATAGTGATATCGTACCGCATGGGTAAACCGAAATATGGTTAATTGCCATTCTACCCACTCTGGAAATCACAAGGGACATCAAACCCCTCCATATCAGCTACTGTGCTTCCTGTTCCAATGGAAATGTGTCTACAAACTGGTCCTAAGGGTAACAAAAATAAAATTTACAAGGAAAGCAAGATTTAAAATAAAAATTGCCAACCTGTGTTTGTGAAACATGAATTTATATTCATACAGGAAATACTTTTTATTCAAGTGGTACAAAAAAAGACTGGCCACTAGATGGAGGCAAAGCTTAGAAATGTCAAAAACCACTTCTGAAGTTCTAAATCTGAAAAGGTCACACAGTAATACCTCACTTATTCTGATATTGCGTCTCGACTATTTCACATACAGTGCTAGCTATTTTGTTAGTTTAGTTTCTATTACACTCTTGTGTAGGATAGAGTGACATGTTAAAATTATTTTGAAATGCACTAGCAAGGTAAATTGCAGCTAAGAAGAAAGCCATTAACAAAAATAAAGTATATTTTTCACCCAGACCAATGTCGTATTGTAACCAGATTCCTACATGAGGCAGAAGAAATATGCGGTTTCTGATTGTGAAATAACCCAGTGTTAAAATGTTTGGTTTTTGTAGACCATGCAGCAGATGAGTGATCACCGGTATGATAAACTGACCGTCCCAGACGACGCAGCTGCAAACTGCATTTATTTAAACATACCAAGTAAAGGACATGTCCTGCTTCACCGCGCCCCCGAGGAGTTCCCAGAGAGTGTCAAGGTATCTCTCCAAAACCACAGATAATCCGTATAGTCACTAGCTAAACCTTGAAACACGTCTGACAACTGGAACACCTGACCCAACAATGACATAATTTCACTTCAATAGTTTTATTGTGGGGAAATATTTAGCGCCTTCACCTCTTTTTAAACAAAGATTTTCATTAAAGCCCAATGAATGATCCCGGGCGATCGACTCGTGGATTACAGGGAATTTGATTTGGATGAACCAAAATATATTGACCGTAATTAACCACAAGATAACTTAATTTTTCATTTTATTTTCAAGGTTTTTGAAAAACTGAAGGACCACATGTTGATTCCCGTGGCAAATAGCGAATTGGCGAAAGTGGATGGCGCGCTGACCTGTTGCTCCCTACTCATTAACAAACGAAGCAATGAGTGAGGTGCCAAAATCTGGCTGCCCAGAAAGAATTCAATGTTCATTTAGCTGACAATCCATCTAGTATGCACTTAGTTTAACTGATATCTTCCTGTTTTGTAAAGGATTTGTGGAAACTGCCCTAATTTTCTTATTCTCAACGAGCTGTGTTCACAGATATTCTTCATTAATCCAACAGCACTTTACATGTAATTTTTCCGTTAACTCACTTGGCTCAGATAATCTATCCTATGTCTAAGCTGTATGTTTATCGCATAAAATACATAAATGAACAAGTAGTGGATGGTTGAATTAAAAGAACAGAATGAAAGAAATGTATGACAAATCGTGTGTCCTTTTAAAAGATTTAAAACAGCAATTCTAAAATTTTGGTGCAAACATTATAAGGGATCTTCTATAAACTATAAACCCAACAGAAAGGTCGTTTATTGACTTTCATTCACTCTCTCTGAAAACTGTATATTACAGAAGTATCGGGAACGGAGCCTCTAAGAAGGGTCTCACAATGGGCCCAGGGGAGGCAGATCAAAAGTAGAAAGAAACTGTATGGTTTATTGAATCTAAGGTAATGCTAAAACGCTCAGTGCACAATAGTGGGCTAGTCTGGTAATATCTCCGTAGGGGTACCACTTTATCTTCTCTCTTAGACCAATCCCTATGTAAACCACAGCCCCTAACTGGAATAAATGTTAAGTCACAATAGGTAGAAATATAGGTACTAAAAAGAATAGAAAAAAGGGACAATAAAAAGATATACTAATGGACAAACTCCCCCACCACCAACCAAAAAAGGTGGAAAGAAAACACAAACACTAATTCCCCTAGAAAAATGAAAAGGTGTATGTCACAAAATAGAACTCTCAAATGCCCCAGTGTACCTCAGCACCATAGTATTACTATTAGTGCTTACCAAAACCACTGGCCCTAAAATTCTAATCTGACCCACAGAAGTGCGAAAAAGAAAAAGCCCGACACATGTTTCGGCGTATGAGCACACCGTCATCGGGGGAAAATAAATGGAGACTAGAGCCTTGCACCTAATATAGCCACATTGGTAATTAGCCAATATGAATGGCACAGACTTTCACACAAGTGGCAACCAACCTTGATTTCGGCACCAAACATAAGGTCGGCTCTCACCGGGTTATATGGGATGAATGGAGCTTCGCACTGGGTTATTAGCGGAAACAGATCAAACCCTTCGCCAATTTATCGGGGATCAAGCTTTTCACTGTTATTGCGCAAATAAAGCTTTTCGCTGGTTTATCTGGGGTTGGGGGAGTCAAAACGTGGGGTGAAGCTTATCCCAGTTTATTGAGGGGGAGGAATCAAGCTTTTCCCGGATTTATTTGGGAGGGGGGGGGCAATATCATCGGGTTTATCGGGGGTGGGTGTCCAAGCCTTTGCCGGTTCATCGGGGGATCAAAATTTTTGGGGTTTATTGGGGGCGGGTGTCCAAGATTTTTGCTGGGTTATCAGGGAGGGTCAAGTTTTTCGCTGACTTATGTGTTGAGAAAATATAATGTGTGACAATAGGACACAGAAAAATTATCTATACGAAAAGAGTGCACATTTATTGATAAAGTATGCATATCAAAAAGTCATGGTATCATGCTGTCACTGCACCCCTCATAAGTGCTAAAGGTAGTACAGGCATATCACACCAAAAGATTGCAGTACACTGAGATGACACACATTTTCCAGCAAAAGAGCAAAAGAAAATGTTTGGAAAATCTCAATTTGCCGTACTACCTGCAACTGTCAGACAGGGGAGAGACAATCCAGAAGACTATCTCCCAAAAAAGTGTGAAATTCCTGGACGCGTTTCACACCTCCCTTTCTCAACAAGGGCTTACAAAGAAAATTCCGGATTTGATCGAGCAAATACATCTCATCAGAGGTATTGCCATGAGATTAAATCGTCTTTCTGGTACCTCATTGTATACCCTGCCTGGTCATTATAATTAAAGTGCCTTTTCTGTCCATTGCAAAGTAATAGCACTATGTTAAAGGTCAGCACTGTATCCCAAACTGTCACCTTCTCTTATAGTATGGCCTGTGTGTAACAAATACATTCTCATTGCTCTGTTAGTACTATCTGTGTGGAACATATACATTCTCATTGCTCTGTTAGTACGGCCTGTATGTAACAAATACATTCTCATTGCTCTGTTAGTACGGCCTGTATGTAACAAATACATTCTCATTACTCTGTTAGTACGGCCTGTGTGGAACATATACATTCTCATTGCTCTGTTATTACGGCCTGTGTGTAACAAATACATTCTCATTGCTCTGTTAGTACTATCTGTGTGGAACATATACATTCTCATTGCTCTGTTAGTACTTTCTGTGTGGAACATATACATTCTCATTGCTCTGTTAGTACGGCCTGTATGTAACAAATACATTCTCATTGCTCTGTTAGTACGGCCTGTGTGTAACATATACATTCTCATTACTCTGTTAGTACGGCCTGTGTGTAACATATACATTCTCATTGCTCTGTTAGTACTATCTGTGTGTAACATATACATTCTCATTGCTCTGTTAGTACTATCTGTGTGGAACATATACATTCTCATTGCTCTGTTAGTACGGCCTGTGTGTAACAAATACATTCTCATTGCTCTGTTAGTACGGCCTGTGTGGAACATATACATTCTCATTGCTCTGTTAGTACGGCCTGTATGTAACAAATACATTCTCATTGCTCTGTTAGTACGGCCTGCGTGTAACAAATACATTCTCATTGCTCTGTTAGTACTATCTGTGTGGAACATATACATTCTCATTGCTCTGTTAGTACGGCCTGTGTGGAACATATACATTCTCATTGCTCTGTTAGTACGGCCTGTGTGTAACAAATACATTCTCATTACTCTGTTAGTACGGCCTGTGTGTAACATATACATTCTCATTGCTCTGTTAGTACTATCTGTGTGGAACATATACATTCTCATTGCTCTGTTAGTATGGCCTGTGTGGAACATATACATTCTCATTGCTCTGTTAGTACTATCTGTGTGGAACATATACATTCTCATTGCTCTGTTAGTACGGCCTGTGTGGAACATATACATTCTCATTGCTCTGTTAGTACGGCCTGCGTGTAACAAATACATTCTCATTGCTCTGTTAGTACTATCTGTGTGTAACATATACGTTCTCATTGCTCTGTTAGTACTATCTGTGTGGAACATATACATTCTCATTGCTCTGTTAGTACGGCCTGTGTGTAACATATACATTCTCATTACTCTGTTAGTACGGCCTGTGTGTAACATATACGTTCTCATTACTCTGTTAGTACGGCCTGTGTGGAACATATACATTCTCATTGCTCTGTTAGTACGGCCTGTGTGGAACATATACATTCTCATTGCTCTGTTAGTACGGCCTGTGTGGAACAAATACATTCTCATTGCTCTGTTAGTACAGCCTGTGTGGAACATATACATTCTCATTGCTCTGTTAGTACTATCTGTGTGGAACATATACATTCTCATTACTCTGTTAGTACGGCCTGTGTGTAACATATACGTTCTCATTGCTCTGTTAGTACGGCCTGTGTGGAACATATACGTTCTCATTACTCTGTTAGTACGGCCTGTGTGTAACAAATACATTCTCATTGCTCTGTTAGTACTATCTGTGTGGAACATATACATTCTCATTGCTCTGTTAGTACTTTCTGTGTGGAACATATACATTCTCATTGCTCTGTTAGTACGGCCTGTATGTAACAAATACATTCTCATTGCTCTGTTAGTACGGCCTGTGTGTAACATATACATTCTCATTACTCTGTTAGTACGGCCTGTGTGTAACATATACATTCTCATTACTCTGTTAGTACGGCCTGTGTGTAACATATACATTCTCATTGCTCTGTTAGTACTATCTGTGTGTAACATATACATTCTCATTGCTCTGTTAGTACTATCTGTGTGGAACATATACATTCTCATTGCTCTGTTAGTACGGCCTGTATGTAACAAATACATTCTCATTGCTCTGTTAGTACGGCCTGTGTGGAACATATACATTCTCATTGCTCTGTTAGTACGGCCTGTATGTAACAAATACATTCTCATTGCTCTGTTAGTACGGCCTGCGTGTAACAAATACATTCTCATTGCTCTGTTAGTACTATCTGTGTGGAACATATACATTCTCATTGCTCTGTTAGTACGGCCTGTGTGTAACAAATACATTCTCATTGCTCTGTTAGTACGGCCTGTATGTAACAAATACATTCTCATTACTCTGTTAGTACGGCCTGTGTGGAACATATACATTCTCATTGCTCTGTTAGTACTATCTGTGTGGAACATATACATTCTCATTGCTCTGTTAGTACTATCTGTGTGGAACATATACATTCTCATTGCTCTGTTAGTATGGCCTGTGTGGAACATATACATTCTCATTGCTCTGTTAGTACTATCTGTGTGGAACATATACATTCTCATTGCTCTGTTAGTACGGCCTGTGTGGAACATATACATTCTCATTGCTCTGTTAGTATATACATTCTCATTGCTCTGTTAGTACGGCCTGTGTGGAACATATACATTCTCATTGCTCTGTTAGTACGGCCTGTGTGGAACATATACATTCTCATTACTCTGTTAGTACTCATTGCTCTGTGTGTGTAACATATACATTCTCATTACTCTGTTAGTACGGCCTGTGTGGAACATATACATTCTCATTGCTCTGTTAGTACGGCCTGTGTGGAACATATACATTCTCATTACTCTGTTAGTACGGCCTGTGTGGAACAAATACATTCTCATTGCTCTGTTAGTACAGCCTGTGTGGAACATATACATTCTCATTGCTCTGTTAGTACGGCCTGTGTGGAACATATACATTCTCATTACTCTGTTAGTACGGCTTGTGTGTAACATATACGTTCTCATTGCTCTGTTAGTACGGCCTGTGTGTAACATATATGTTCTCACTACTCTGTTAGTACTATCTGTGTGGAACATATACATTCTCATTGCTCCGTTAGTACTAGGGATCGACCGATATTGATTTTTTTAGAGCCAATACCGATAATCTGTGAACTTTCAGGCCCATACCCGATAACTTACCGATATTCTGTACATTTACCAGTTTGAAAAAATAAACAATTTCTAAAGGTAAATGCACAAGATATACATGCCACATGTAGTGGATGCAGTGTGTTTAGACAGGGGCGCTGTGTGTGTAGAGGATGCAGTGTGTATTTGTGTAGTGTGTGTATATAAATTATGCAGAGTGTGTTTGTGTAGTGCGTGTATAGTGAATGCAGTGAGTGTTTGTGTAGTGTGTGTGTATAGTGAATGCAGTGAGTGTTTGTGTAGTGTGTGTGTATATATAATGCATACAGTGAGTGTTTGTGTAGTGCGTATATAATGAATGCAGTATGTTTGTGTAGTGCGTGTATAATGAATGCAGTGAGTGTTTGTGTAGTGTGTGTGTATAATGAATGCAGAGTGTGTGTTTGTGTAGTGTGTGTGTGTGTATAATGAATGCAGTGTGTTTGTGTAGTGTGTGTGTGTGTGTGTGTATAATGAATGCAGAGTGTGTGTGTTTGTGTAGTGTGTGTGTATAATGAATGCAGAGTGTGTTTGTGTAGAGTGTTTCTGTAGGTAGGTATGTAATTTCAGGGGAGGGGGCATTTTAAAAAATTAAAATAAACACCAACACAAAGACAAACAGTACAATAAAAAGTGGAGTGCTTAATAAAAAATAGTAACATAGGAAACACATTCTAATTGCTTGTTACACCATTACATATGAAGTGATGGACTTATGAGCTAAAACACCATGACATATGCAAATATGCAAAACAAAACAAATGATGAGGTATGAACATTTCTTGTCTCATATTTGCACTTTAAATCTAAATCCGCACTAGTGAAATCTGTTAATTTTTATTATTTTTTTGTTCCCCCTTGTTACTTGGCTTGTTACTCTAGTATTCCCTGGTGGTCCAGTGGCATGGACAGTGCAGAGGGGCCCCAGCAAGCGCTTACTTACCTTCCCAGCAGCTCCCCAGTCTAAATCTCGCGAATCGTTGCCATGGTAACCCGTGGCAACGCTCTGATAGCTGCAGGACTCTCGAGATTTACACAGGGGAGCAGCTGGGAAGGTAAGTGTGTGCTACTGGCCCTCCAGGAGAGAGTAAGAGAGAGCTTGTGGTATTCACAGGGCTTTTAACAGGTTAGCCCTTCCTTCTGCTGGACACACCTCCCTCAGTCAATCCCTTAGGATGTAACAGAACCAGAGTGCCTCCTGGGGGAAGGGTGATTGCATTGGAAGCGAATTTATCAACAACCCAACTGGTTTTGCCTGGTGAAAGGCCATGTGCCCACAGAGGACTCCATTATTGCCTAAGGGTAGAATGGGGCTTGAATACCTGTATACAATAACACTTCATTGGGATACAGTTTGGCTGTTAATCAGTCCCGCCATTTAAGTGGATGAGACACTTATGCCCCGTTTCCACGGTCTGGTACGCTATTTTGAGTTCTTCCATTATGAAAGTGGCCCATACAACCAAACCAAACTGCGCCATTCCTGGGCCCCCTTCAGATGTAGGTCCATAAGAAATGGTACGCTTAGGGCAGAGCTACTGGCGTCACGTTATACAATCCATTTATTGGCGGACAGGAAAACGTCAATGCTCACTACAAATAGCACGCTTTGCATTTGGTCTAAACCCTGCATGCCCCCTGGCGGTCCGACTTGCAGTGGAAACGCTCACCTGAATATGCTGAACCGTACTGACCCGAACCATACCGCTCAGTGGAAATGTGGCATAAGACTTGTTAAGACACCTCCAGTGTCTTTAGGCAAAACCGCCGTTTAGTAGACCTTCCCCGTCTGCAGTAACAGTAACTCCGTTCGCCTAACCTGTAGTACGCGAACCAAATGCAGGGGAAGCGGCAATCTCCCGACCGGGATCCGTGAACGGCTCCAAACTCCCGAACGGCAATACACGAACTGCTGCTAGCCGCCGAACAACAATATCCACCAAGCGGCTTTCGTTTCCATCCAGCAGTCTCTAAACGTGAAGAAGAAATCCTCCCAATAACGAGACAGAAGCTCCACATTGAGGGTCAAACAGGATCTGGCTTTACTGTGGGCTACTTGCCTGTATTTATGCAGGTTTCCCACTTGGTGGACACTCCCCTAGGGGACCAAATGGGAAAATTAAATGACAGACAGATATGGGGACATTCCAGACACACAGTCACAGATTTTACCCACAGTGCATTATGATTCCCTCCCCTCTGCCCTGGAGATAATTACCAAGTAACTCAATTATCTCCAGGACAAAGCCAGTCGCCATTTTAAATATAAAATCATAAAAGACATAAAAATGCATAACTTTCAAATAACCGAACATTTCCCATTCGTATCACATATCCCCAGATAGCCTGGATCTGAGTGCATATTATTAGCGAATAGCGCTCAGATCCCACACACATAATTCAATCGCCATGGAGTCAAAGTTCTTACAGTCTTTCGGTATACGAATGACTCCATGGGAAGGCTATCTGGGTTAAGTCTTTTCGTATGCTCCAAACCTCCCGAACGGCCGGTATTCGTATGCTTTCGTGGAGACAGCCAGGCGTTCCGTTGTTTCAGCGGTGTTCGGCAGAAAAAGTGTCCGTTTTTAGTTCCATAGAAATAGAGCCAAACACCGCTGGGCTTTCGTGTGGTTTAAAATGGCCGCTGCCAACGACGACCACCCTGAATTCGGTTTAATTGAGAAGTGTCTGCGGTTAACCACAATGTTCTAATTCGGATCAATAGGTTAACCAGCAGCACACTTCTCTCCTGGGTGGCCGTCCGTTCGGCAGGTTTGTTCGGGAAAAAGAGTCATTCGAATGGCTGGGCTATAGAAAACAGCCATTCATACGAACAGGATACAAACAGACGAATGCAACTAAAATAAGCAGACAGATGGTTCTGTCACAAGACTCTATAAAACCCACCAGAGATAACCAAGAGACAGAGAATGCATCCTGCAGTGTATCTACTTATGTACTACCCCAATAGAGCTCTGCCATTTGCATATCATATTGGAGATAATATACTTCAAGTAACAACCCATACCAACCTGAATAACAATGCATACTATCGAAATACACAATACAATAATAAATGCGTAAATTAATACATTTTCCACAGCAGTTTTTCTTCCACCAGTTTAAACTATACATATAGGGTTAGCCATGTCAGTAAATAAATGTTCAGTTAAAGTTCTTGTTGTTGGTGAGAGAACTCATTATGAATGTTCACCACAGGTTTGTAAATGTTGTATTACTTTTAATAAACAACCTATTCTTGCCAAATGGGTCCTCAGTTATACCATGCTCTATTAATGGGGGGCCCAGAGTTATGTTGATGGTAAGTAATAAAGGTACTGTCAAGTTAAAGTGATGTGTATTAATTACAAACACCACTAGATGGCTCCAGTGAAATGGCCCTACAGGTATTACCCTGACATCCCATCCAACTGTTAATCCACAGATCACTATGATCATAGGCAAACCTATTTCATCTAAGGTTTGCGTCGTGATCTTAGATAGTTCAGTTTACATAGACTAACATACAAAATCCCATGACAATATTTCTTCTGTGTGTAGTGTTGCTGTACTATGTGTCTTTATTACCTTTTGTGTCCAATCCTCCATTAAAGTTTTGTGTCCAATCCTCCATTGATGGTTCTCTGACTTTGATTCCCTTTGGACTATAACACCCTTAGACTGGAGTGTTGCAGTCATACTAGATATATCAATTGTATTTACAAAACCCAACCCAGTGCCCACACCTCCCAGAACCGTACCCAAGACACCCCTCCTATTCCTAGTCCTGCTTCTTGTCACCCATCTGACTAAAGCCTAAGTAATAGCGGATATAACCCTAGAACAGTTCTGAAAGTGGGATGAAACTAGCCAATCTGTTAGTCTAATCGATTAGAAAGTAACATTCCTGACTATAGGGGTAGGTCTCAGTGAACATATTTGGAAATGACCACTAGAGACCACTCTAATCTCCTGACACTCAGATCTGCTCCCATTATCCATTAGAATGTGTTTTATGAATATAGGTGAAAGGAGGAGCATTGTAGGCTTTATCTCTTCCTCTACATTCAACAAGACCTTCACTTTCCCACCCTTGTTGTGTCCTATTTTATTTTCCCAATTTCTTCAATTTTAATTAAATGTACCCACTATAATTTGTTTTACATGATACTCTCTCGCTGTTTAAACTATACATATAGGGTTAGTAACATTTCATTTGATATTAATATTTCCTCCCTCCAGATATACAACCCATTTTCCTCAACCAGTCCATATACATTCCAAATGTTCTTCATTTCCCTTATTGTCTTTTCCAAAATCCCTTGATAGAATCAGGTTGTTTTAACCAAAAGAATCTTGATCACCCACTCAAAATCAAATAGCACATCTACACATGGAACTTGTAGATTGTCTCTGCTCAAAATCCTAGTCCATCCCGATGTATCAGGTTTATTGTTCCCTGTATGGTGTCTTCTTAAAGGAGTAGTGTTTAATTAGGAACCACTCTTTAAGTCCTCTGTTAAGTCTTTGGGCAGCAGCAATTATGCAAATGAGAACCTGGTAACTGCCTTTGAGGTCAAAGGCCGGTTACAGCCTATCAGATTTAGAGGAGGGGTATTTAGGCCCAGTTCTCATCCTGTTCAGTGCCCTGTCGTGGTTTCCCTTGTGGTTGTCCGAGAGCATGTTATTGATTCTGGTTATTCTGGTTATTTGGCTTTGGCTTTGGCATTGTTTTTGACTTCCCTGTTTTCTGGCATCCCTGACTCCTGGCTTTTCCTTATCGTTGTGTCTCTTTCTGTTTCCCTTGACCTCGGCTATTCCTGACTATTCTTTGGTACGTTAGTCCGGCCATTCTAAGGTCCGGTATACGTTACCTATCAGTCCTCTGTGTTACACAGTTCTACGTGCTGGATCAAACTGTAATCCTGACATATTTGCATAGATAAAGCTGTTGTTGCCTTGGCCTGTGACAAGCTGTTCCATCAATTTCCAGGTGAGTATCAGCATGTTAAGTGACATAAATATCTTGGAACTTTTGGAAAAATCTGTAAGAGATCAAGAAGGAGCATCAGTTCTTAGCAGATAACTCTCTATCTGGGGAACAAGCCATGTTGTATAATTTACATTGGTCTACATGGACCCAGTTATATAGCACTCTGCATTTTTATAATTGTTATGCTCAATGTTTCTATGATTACATAGGGCTCTTCTGAATTTGCATCACAGGGCAAATTTTGCTAAAATGTTCAAATTCCCCCCTCCTCAAACAGAGATTAGAGTAGATACAATTTTACAACTTGTTGGGGCCATATTTGAGACCCCCCTTGGACAGTGTAGTCTGCCACTGGCACTCTCCGATGCATAGGTCTTTGTCCCTTAGGGCATGGATATACTTGGGAGCAAATAAGGCAATCCTGTTTCCAATGTAGAGCTGAATTTGTTATGTCAGAACAATAAGATTTCAGTCTAAGGTGATCGTCTAATGCACTCTGTCCAATGTGACACATAAAAGCATGTGTTTGTTGTGTAATTGGCCTCTGTAAATGGTGTGGGGAAGTAGCCTTGGTTGTTGGCCATTAGGATTACTGTAACAACAACCCTTCTTTTATAGAATAACCCCTTTGAAGTGGTTGATGGTTCTGTAATAAAAGAGAAGAGATTAGGATACCTATTCAGTTCTGCTTTTAACCCCTTAAGGACACAGCTTCAGAAGCTTGTCTTACGCTTAAAGGACCACTATAGTGCCAGGAAACATACTCGTTTTCCTGGCACTATAGTGCCCTGAGGGTGCCCCCACCCTCAGGGACCCCCTCCCGCCCGGCTCTGGAAAGGGGAAAGGGGTTAAACTTACCTTTTTCCAAAGCTCTCCTCCTTCTCTTCTCCTTCGTTCCGCCCCGTCGGCTGAATGCGCACGCGCGGCAAGAGCTGCGCGCGCATTCAGCCGGTCGCATAGGAAAGCATTTACAATGCTTTCCTATGGACGTTGAAGGCTCACTCGTGAAAATCACAGTGAGAGTTGTCGCTCTAGTGGCTGTCAATGACAGCCACTAGAGGTTTGGGGGAAAGTTGCTTAACTATTAATAAACATAAAGCAGTTCTTTTCTGAAACTGCTATGTTTATTAAAAAGGTTAACCTTGTTGGATTTGAGTAATCAGACCACTTCACAAGCTTCGAAGTGGTCTGGGTGCCTAGAGTGTCCTTTAATGACACAAACCATTTTTTCATTTGCTTGATGCTCTATGCTCAACTGTACCTCCTGTATCTCTCGCTTATTGCAACTGGCTATTATAAATGTTTTAAAGGACAGAAAGGCTTAATTTGATGTAACACATATATATGAATGGTTATTTATTATAAAAAAATACAGAAATATGCAAAAAATATAAATTTTGTTTTTTTTTTACAGTTTTTGCAATAATAATGTGTTCATAATTAGTGCAGGTTAAGGAAAATAATTACAAATAAATTAATTTAGTTGTTCTGATTTACAGAATATATAATGTGTCTGGGATTTAAAGCTTTTTTTGGTAGTTACAGGTCACAAAGCACAAGGAGTAAAATAAACTTTTAATGCGGAGCGATTTTAGAATTTGGTATGTTTGTCTTGTAAGTTTAATAGCCATAAAAGAAAACAAAATTGTCATACAAAAGTATATATATTTATAGAAAGTAGACATCACAGGCTATTTACCTAGGGTTGTTTTGACACCTTCTACGTAGCCATTTCACCGCAAACCTCTGCTAAATATTGGAGTAAAATTGTGTTTTATTTAGTTTTTGGCACACAAACTTATAACAAAGAACTTCTCGTGTATATTTTGTAAAGTTGGTGTGTGTTATTCCTGCACAAAACTGTATTTTGTGTTCAGTTATATCTGCTGAGTAAAATGACACCTCTATTTTTGTTCTTGGCACTATTTCGTAGTTACAGTGCCATACAGGATACCTGTCCGTTTCAACATTTACAGTAGAATTTTGAGAGGCGGATTTAATGGGCCTATGCTTCAATTTGGGGTATTATAGCAGTTTGACTGTTCAAAAAAACCCACAAAGGCCTACCATTTGTAAAAGTAGACACTCCAGGGTATCTTATAAGGTGCATATTGTGCCTTAACATACCCCCATTTTTTCACCAATATATGCCAAAGGTAAAAAATAATTTTGTGCATTTTTTACATACGGCTTGCATTTTTGCTGGGCATTTTGTATATTTCATATGTGCCACTAAGTTTAAACCCCCCAAATTATGCTCAGCTAAGTCTTCTGAGTAAAACAATATGCCCAATGTATGACCTAGACACTATTTTGTGAAGTTACACTGCTCGTGACAAGTTCAAGTTTTTAAGTGTGAATTTTCATGGAGGGTTTTGATGCGTCCGTGTTCCACTTTGGAGCACTTGAGCAGGCTACATATTACAACTACACCATAAAGGCCTACCATTTCTTAAAGTAGACACCCCAGGGTATTTCAAAAGGTATAGTTTGAACCTTAGCGTGGGATCATTTTTCCGCTAGCTTGTACCAAGTGTAGTGGTAATAAGCCTTTTTGACACACAAAGTGAGTTTGCACAGTATATTTTGCAAACCTTGTGTGCTACGACTGTTGCTCAGCTATGTCGGCTGAGTACAGCAATACCCCCGTATGTACCTTTGCCAGGTATATGTGGACATCGGAGGGGCACATTTGGGACACAGCCATTCCAGTTTTTTTCAAACTTTACATTTTTACGCTGTGTCCATGTCCCATTTTGGAGTAGTTTAGACGGTTGGTTATTGAAACTTCCCCACAAACACATACTATTTATTAAAGAATACTTTTTAAAACTAGTTTTTAAACTTTTTTATATGCTAATTAATTTTTTTTAAACTTTCCTAAACTTTCTTAACTTTTTTTTTACAGATTTAACATTTTTATAAGCTTTTTTTATACCGTTAACCCCTAACTAGCAGTAAGCAGCACTAACAGTAAATTCCCCAATTTCCCATAACTCCCCCCACCCCAGCTATCTAAATATATAACTTTTAAATATTTAAATTAATTAATAAAATAAATTTAACCCCTGAGTGTTAAAAAGATAAAAAATAACCCTCAGGGGTTAAAAAAAAAAATCAGATGACAGTAAAATGTAATCCCTGCCAATTGATGATTGTAGTCAGTGATCAATTTGCAGGGAAATGGTTAATTTTTTATTAAAATGGGTAAAGGGGGGGTGGGATTTTAATTAAACTTTATTTTAATTTTTTTTACAGTGAGAAGATCAGCTCTGATCCGTCTCCCTGCACTTCACACAGAACCCGGAAGTGCAGGTAGGCGGAAGGTGAGACAGCCTGTCAGAGCGAGCACTGCTGCTGGGGCAGCGAGGTCGGGTGCTCCCGGTCTGCCTCTAATACAGAGGCAGATTGAAGCACCGTTAACCCCGCGATCACGGCGATCTGGGGTTAATTTTACCGCGTGACTGACGAGGTCCGTCACCCGTCGTTAAGGGTCTCACCTGGATGACAGACCTCGTCCGTCACCCGTCCTTAGGGGTTTAAATCTGGCACTTCTGAACCTTGATCAACAGTCTTGGCTATCAGAGTAATTACTTCTTTGCATTTGAAGTGCTTGCTGTATCTCAAAATCTTTTACATGTAAATGCCATTGATCTCCATCTAAGACAGCCTCCTTTGCTAACAAATTCACTTGTACATAAGTGTTTACCTTTACAACTGCTGACTGGAGGGGGTGCTTTGATCCCACTCCAACCAGTTTCCCAAGATTCCATAGGGACAGATAGTTTGATCCGGTGGCATAAGCAATGTCACTATGGGTACAAATAGGGCGTGTGTCAAATTCCTTTGAAAAATGTAATAGCCCCAAAAACTTTTTCAAGGATTGCTTGTTAAAAGGTCTGGGGACTTGTAAGACTGCTATCACTCTTTCTTTCATTAGGCAGCTGTGATAGCTACTCCCAGCCTTCGAAGTGTTTAGCTTGAATCCAGCATTTTGAAATCAAGCCAAACAATTCCCTTAACAAGCCCATATGTTGTTTTGTCTCTGTTTGCAAGATATAATAAACATATTGCATTATACTGGAAGGAGAAGAGAATGCTTCTGAATCCATTGCTAAGGTCTTGTGGAAATATATTGGAGAGCTATGAAAGCCTTGAGGTAGCGTTGCATCTAGGAAAACAGGCTTTCTCACTCTCATATTTCCACAAAACATTATGATAGAGGTCTATCAGTATCCCTTCTGTTCTCATTACATTTGCACCCAGCATATTACCTTCAGTATTCTTACTTTGCCATATGGGAATTTTCTTATTCCACTGAGCACTTAAAATCAAAGTCGCTTGTGACGTGAGAAAAGCCTGGGACTGGGATCCCCCAAGTCCTGCAAGAAATGTTTGTTTTGACCCAGAAGGGGGACTTAGTGGTAGGTCAGTAAATTTTACTGAAGCTCCTGTATCAGTAAGAATCTTAGTCTGTTGTCTTGCCATAATTCCATTCACGTAATTGGTGAATGGTCCATAAATGTGTTACATGTCATCCAGTGATAGTCATTCCAAAAATGAAATCAGAGAAACTTCACCCTCTTGATTCATTTTAGAGCTGCTAGTCACTGCTCCCTGTACAGAAAGAGACCGACCACACAGCCTGATTTTATGTAACTCTTTTGGGCAGAAGCCTCGTGTGCAGTTGGTCCAAATATAACCTCCGTGGAAATCCCGAACCGATCTGGGTGATTTTTGGATATGTTGGTCACCCAGATCGGGGCTATTGTGGGATTTCCATGAGTTTTGGGGGTACTTTCAGGATACTGTAAAAATGTATGTTTTGTGTGCCTGGAGATAATTGAGTTTAGTACAGTTCCTGACTCAATTATCTCTCAGGCACAGGGGAGAGATTACCCTGTGTGATCCTGTATTGCAATTAGCACGGTCCTCTAGGGTATAAACATGCGCTGTCTTTTGATCTAATATAAATCCAGGCACTTTATTGTTGTAATTCACTCAGGAGACAGCAGCAAATGAAAGAAATAATAATGTAACAGAAATCCCTGCAAACAAAATCCTAGCCCATCTCTAGCGAGAATTAAACTTCAACAAAATACCGGTTTCACCAACCTTGTTTATTAGCAACTCTCTGCACTGACCCAGTGACCTCGACTGCTATCCTTCTGCACCCCAGCGCTCAGTCACCTTAACTGCCAACTTCTGCACCCCAGCGCTCAGTCACCTTAACTGCCAACTTCTACACCCCAGCTCTCAGTCACTTTGACTGCTATCCTTCTGCACCCCAGCGCTCCGTCACCTCGACTGCTATCCTTCTGCACCCCGACTGCTCTCAGTCACCTCGACTGCTATCCTTCTGCACCCCAGCGCTCAGTCACCTCGACTGCTATCCTTCTGCACCCCAGCGCTCAGTCACCTCGACTGCTATCCTTCTGCACCCCAGCGCTCAGTCACCTCGACTGCTATCCTTCTGCACCCCAGCGCTCAGTCACCTTAACTGACAACTTCTGCACCCCAGCGCTCAGTCACCTTGACTGCTCTTGGGTAATCTAAGGTTTTATATGTATGGAATATAGATTGAATAATATCTGATGATATTCACACACACATAGAGCCTTCAGGGACCCTGTAGTTCTTTGTTTTAAGCGGTGATCATAGGCGTGCGCAGCCTATTGCATTAGGGTGTGCACCCTAAAGCACAAGCCGCATATATATATATACACACACATATACACACACTGCTGTGTGTGTGTGTGCTGTGTGAGGGTGCTGTTAGTGTGATGTGTGTGTGACGATGCTGGTAGTGTGCTATGTGGGTGAGGGTGTTTGTGTGTGCGTGCTTGTGAGAATGCTGTTAATGTACTGTGTGTGAGGGTGCTGTTTGTGTGTGTGTGTGCGCTTGTGAGGGTGCTGTTAATGTACTGTGTGTGAGGGTGCTGTTTGTGTGTGAGGGTACTGGTAGTGTGCTGTGTGTGTGTTTGTTAGGGTCCTGTTTGTGTTTGTGAGGGTACTGTTAGTGTGCTGTGTGTGTGTGAGGGTGCTGTTTGTGTGCTGTGTGTGAGGGTGCTGTGTGTGTTTGTGAGGGTGCTGTATGTGTGTGTGGGTGCTGTATGTGTGTGTGGGTGCTGTGTATGTCTGTGGGTGCTGTGTATGTCTGTGGGTGCTGTATGTGTGTGGGTGCTGAATGTATGTTGGTGCTGAATGTGCGTGGGTGCTGTTTATGTCTGTGGGTGCTGTATGTCTGTGGGTGCTGTATGTCTGTGGGTGCTGTGTATGTCTGTGGGTGCTGTGTGTCTGTGGGTGCTGGATGTCTGTGGGTTCTGTGTATGTCTGTGGGTGCTGTATGTGTGTGGGTGCTGTGTATGTCTGTGGGTGCTGAATGTATGTGGGTGCTGAATGTGTGTGGGTGCTGTGTATGTCTGTGGGTACTGAATGTGTGTGGGTGGGTGATTGTGGGGGGTGGAGGTGGGGGTACATTAATTGCTATCCCCCCTCCCTTCTTACCTTTTGTAGGGAGGGGGGATCGTGCTGCTGCTTCCTTCCCTGGTGGTCAAGTGGAGGAGGGGATCCTTGCTGCTGTGATCCCTGGTGGTCCAGTGGAGAGTGAACTCTAACCCCTATGGGGCTAGAGTTCACTCTCGCGAGATTTGAGCGTTGCCGTGGCAACGCTCATATCTCGCGAGAGGAACCCGGCGGAGCTGCCGGCAATAGCTCCGCCGGGTCCTCTCCTGCCTCCCTCCCTGCAGTGGGGAGGGAGGCTGAGAGCAGAGCCGGCGCTTGGATAGCGCCGGCTCTGCATGAGCCGACAGGGGAGATCCTGAGATCTCCCCTGCCGGTCTCAATGAACATAGGCGTGCCGCGGGGATTAGGGTGTGCCCAGGCACACCCGGCACACCCCGTGCGCACGCCTATGGCGGTGATATAAACACTTATGAACGGCAGATGGCCAATAAACAGACTTTGCTAGAAAGTATATATAAATTTAATAATACACACTATAAAATGTAAAGCAACAAGACAATACAATTATAATCAATTTGCTGTATTATATATGAGTTTATGTCAACAAGTCAATTAGTTTACTTGACAAGCCTAAGAGTCAACCTTACTCTTTGTCTCATCTATAATCTTATCAACAAAGGACAATAAAAGCTATTAAATAACTTCACAGCAATACCAGTATACAGAATTAATCATATGACACCCCTGCATTAATGATACAATGGTCATTATAATAATTAGTTAAATATCAACCAACCCTGCCAAGTATATACCATCAGTTTAACTACAGTGCGTTTATATAAGGTATATAAGGTATAGCCTTAGTATATATATTATATATATTGAACTGATCTACGTCTAAAGAAGGAATCAAGAATGTTCCGACTTAGGAAGTTATATCTGACTCCGGCTGCAGGTAGAATGAGATATAACTGTTCTATCAATAGGGATCAGTTCACAATATAGACACATAGGGCATTCAATAGTCCCGTTTATTTAATATAAAGTAAAGAGAAACCTTTATACATTACCAAGAGTCTAGGATGAATTAATTCAAGTTGGGATTCTTCTCTCTGGGTGCTCTGGTCTGTAACTCAGTCTATTGCCCTCAGTCAGTCAATCTCCTCCTTTCTTAGCCCTCTGTTTTCTCCTTTTGATCTTTTTAAGATGATCTGAAGATATCGATCCTCTCTCTTATTTTTCTGTCTATTTAACCATTATTTCCCCCTTATCAGTTCCTGCCCCTTGTTTGTAAATGGGCGGTACCTGGGACTTAAATCTGGCTTTTGATTGGTTATGGGCATATCTTAATATTTAATTATTAATGTGGCCCTTAGGGACTTTCATCAATAGATGGCACTATTTCCCTAGGTATGAAGACCTAAATTAGATCATTGATGACCTGGTTAAATAAATGAATTGACCTTTAATTCACCTATACTGGGGATATTTCAAATTACGTTAAATATCTGTCTTTGGTTATATATATTCTTTAATTGAAACAGGGTTGGTTATATTAATCATCATGCAATATGTCTATATCCTGTATCAATCTAACCTGTATGATTAACTGATTGATACATTCATCATTACAAAGAAAAATAGAATCTAATTATATTAGTATATCTATATTACCTTTTACCCTAAATCAATCAAGGATGCAGTTATAGACATTACCGTAGCAATCACACATTTAGTTTACATTTATATATCATGCATGATTCCGATAGATTCATTTAAGTTCTAATATCCTGAAAACATGGAAGCGACCTCAGACTTTGGGTTCGTATGGCTGACAAACACTCTGGATTGCCTGTGATGTTTATACACAAACAATTGCATAGTTTGTATACCCCTTTGAAGCTCTGTGAGTTTAAGTATCTCAGGATTGTAAAGTCCCATTGAGGAATAAACCATTGTTCTTGTTACCCTTGTACACAGATAGCTCACAAATTAAACTGTAGATAAGTATTCCTCCTGTTTACTTCTTAAGGTTACAAAATACAAAGTTCCTTTGACCTGTGTTGAAACAGCATTACGAAATGTCCAGGCCAGTCTACCAGCATCCATATTGTTTTCTTTTAATATTAAAAATTATGGGGCACCAAATAGCACAACACTGCTATACTTCTGCACCCCAGCGCTCAGTCACCTTGACTGCTATCCTTCTGCACCCCAGCGCTCAGTCACCTTGACTACAATCCTTCTGCACCCCAGTGCTTCGTCACCTTGACCCAGAGTAGTGGGAAAGTAGAAAGGGCAAATGGCACCTTAAAGAACAAGATTGCAAAAGCCATGCAAGACACAGTGAAGCCCTGGACTGAATGCCTTCCCCTAGCACTCTTGTACATGAGATTCAGACCCAATTCTAGACATGGCCTATCCCCTTTTGAGATACTGTTAGGAAGAGAGGCCTCTATTTTCCCCAGACCCTCCAGATGCAGCATGGTAGTATGACTGCCATGTACAGGCCCTACACCAAAGATTAGGCAGGGTGCATAAACAAGTCTTTGATTCTATTCCAGATCCAGACTCTGATTCTGCAACTCGCAAACTGCAACCTGGTGATTGGGTGGTGATAAAGAGGCATGTGAGGAAAGGACTTGAACCACGCTTTGACGGTCCATTCCAAGTGCTCTTGACTACGGCTACCTCAGTGAAACTAGAAGGAAAAGCAACGTGGATACACGCCAGTCACTGTAAACAAGTCACTCCGACTGATCCACTGACATGAAGCTGTTCTTATCCTTTACCATTGTATGCTCTGTTCAAATATGCTACTCTGACTTGAGACCAGAAGATAATAATGCATAACAGGGAAATATATAATTACAGATAGCAAAGGCTTTTAATTGAACCTCCTTTTGCCTCAACCCTCTCCTCAGTACTGAAAATGCCATGGAATCTTGTCTTATAGCTGTCCCTACCCCATCTCACTTTTGAGGAAGTACCTACATACCCATAGACCCCATAAATATCTGCCCGAGTAATTAATGCTGTAGCCTGTTCCTTTGCAAAGGGTTTAAATGCCACTTCACAGGCCCTAGAAGAGCTACTTATGGACAACCAGGCAAATAAGAAGGCAATCCTTGAGAATAGAGCAGCCAATTACTTTACTAAATGAGAAAATGTAGTACTTTTTGCTATTAGCTATATTTGTTATTATGTACATTTTTCTAACCTTTAGATTTTTCTCATGTCTACTAACCTCTCTATGTAAAAACAAACATACTGTTGGTCGTACCTTAACTTACATTCCAGCTCTGACTTTGGAAGGGTTTTATGATGTTACCTCGCCTAACAAATGAAGGAACTCTCCTCCGCTGATTCTGGTGGTTTCTCAGTCCAAGGGAACTGTGGTGAAGCAATAAATGCTTTGGCTAGCAGGCCTGGATATACCTTGGACATTTGGGTGACCCTTGGATCAAAAGAGGGGATTGTGATAGAATTTATCTTGATTCCAAGGCTCAAGCTTATAGGTGTCATATAATGATATCCTTTATTAAAATTGGCTAACTTGGACTCAGGAAATGCTTGATGCTTAAACAACACTTAAGACCATATATGTCTAGTTCCGGGAGCAGAGAGCCCCCACCTAAGATGTCTCTTCTCTAATCTTTTTGTTCTTTCTTACCTTGGAACTTATTTGTTATGTGTACATGACGTTCATCCCTTCCTATTACTGTTCTAAGAGTATTTGCACGTAAGCACTTACTTTTTAATGTATAAAACCCAGCTGATGAATAAAACGTCAGAGGCTTATTTTGAATACCAACAGGTGTCTGGTGTCTAATTCTCGCTTCTCCAAGTGTACTTGTAATAATAATTTGGGCTTCCTCTGAATATAACAAAGATCATTATTTGGATCCACAACAGTCTACCACCACGATGTCGAGTTGGTAGGTCAGCACTTGCTTGTCTGTCTTGAAGTCCCACAGGATCTTAGCCCTGTCATTCTCAACTACCCTTTGTGGTATCTCCCATCTGGATTTAGGCAGGTTCAATCCATATTCTGTGCAGATGTTTCAGTACACAATCCTAGCAACTTGGTTGTGTGTATGCTGTTCCTGCTAACATCTTGAATCCGGCTACAGAGACTGTCTCAGAGGCCTCTTTGCACAGTCTGCACCTTGGGTCTTGCCTGGTGTGGTAGACTCCAGCTTCTATTGATCTGGTGCTGAGTGCCTGCTCCTGTGCTGCGAGGATTAGTGCCTCAGTGCTGTCTTTCAGTCCTGCCTTTTCCAACCACTGGTAGGATTTTGTCTTGTGAGCCACATCCACTATCTGCCAGTGGTACACCCCAGGGAGAGGTTTGTCTTGCCAAGGAATCTCCCCTTTTTCTGCATCCTTGATCTGTGGAAGTCTCAGGCATTCCCTTAGCAGTTCATCTTTCGGAGCCATCTTCGTGATGTACTTGTGGATGCTCTGTGTTTCATCCAGGACTGTGGCCTTGAAACTCATCAGGCCCTGACCTCCTTCCTTCCGGCAGGTGTACAGTCTCTCGGTGCTGGATTTCGAGTGGAGTTTCATAGTGAATAGCTTCATGGTCTTGACATCCATGGTGACTAGCTCTTCTCTTGGCCAGGTTTTTATTCCAGCTGGGTACCTGATGACCAGTAGGGCATATGTGTTGATGGCTTGGATTTTGTTCTTGCCATTGAGCTGGGACTTCAGGACCTGTCTGACTCTTTGGAGGACTATGGATACTACGACTGGATAGATATATATAGTGTAGATTGGATTAGCCGTATTAGTCCAGTAGACAAAATGCCAAAATCCCAGTATTGCAGTATGAATGATACCTTTTATATATATAAATACCAGAGTATTGCAGTATGTAATGATAACTTTTTTATTGGACTAACATAATTTTTCAAAGACAAGTTTTTGAGAGTTTTCCTCTCTTCCTCAGGTCTGAAGCTATATTGATCAATCTGATAGAGTTTTACACGTAAAACAACTGATATTAGAGAAGGGGAGGGAGGGGGGAGAGTGGGGTTTTATAAATAGCCGAAGATGTTATATAAAACCAAAAACAATGTAGACTTACACCAATAGAAACTAGTGTATAAGTCAGAAAGATTTACATATCGTTTAATTAATACAGGGCAGCTACCTCATGGGATATTCCAGACTGCATAAGATATCACCAAACAAAAGTGTGGAGGATATAGCTAACTATCTACAGAAAAAAAACTAAAAATAGTACAATAGTATACAGAGTTATATGCGCCAGATAAGAATGCACTCATGAGATCAAGGAGTGTTAAGTCGCTTTAGGGTGCCTCTCCTAAGATAGTTGGGGAGTGTATCCAAGATTCCTTCTCCGCTTATGATGTCATAACCACGGAAAGGAAGACTTGACTTAACGTCGCTTCCGGAAGTCGCATTCAGATGTCATATGCGTTCTGTCCTCTAGGACCGTGTGGTGAAGACCTCTCCTCCAGGAGAGCGTATTAGGAACAAGCTCTTAAAAGAGTTAAGTGATTAAAGCTCAGGGGAGTATGCAGAGCAGAGCAATCCCCAGTGTGATATAGCAGTTCCCTCCAATCACGAGACAAGACTACGTGTTGAGGGTCAAGAAGATCTGTGTTTAATTAGCACCAAAGGGCTTTCTTTTATGGAGGTCTTACGCATACAGGACCGCCCACAGGGTTTTTCAGAAGAACCAATAGAAACATTACAACATGTACAATAAAGTAAACCACTCCCAGCAGAAATCCTCCCCTCTGCCTGTGATACAATTATCTCAAGACAATAGACTAACTTAATTATCACAGGCAGAAAATATACAGTTTTTACACAATTCTTATAACTTTAAGAGTATGCATGCAATATTAATAAAAGTTTAATTTATTTGAAATCAGCGTCCTTTAAATATAAATATACTCAAAAATCATGAAAATCCGTCCAGTAGATCAAAAGTTAGCTGGGAGTCCTTTATGACCGACCGCAAGTACATTTGCATGCCCAAAACAGTTCCATGGATTTGGGCTGTGCGGTCGGTCAATTTTACACTGAAAAAAGAATCTTCGAACGGGACTTAGTCTCCAGCCGCAGTGTCGAACTGGAGAAGAAGGTACGGGTCAGCGGTATTCGTGCAATTGGGTAGCCGAAAACAGTTCCATAGATTTAGCTGCACACACCGCTGACCGCATTCGAATGAGTTAAAATGGCCACTTCGACTACTTCGGCACTTCGGCTGTATCCAATGTAGCGGAGAGCTAGTATTTCATAGCCTATCTCCACTTGTAGATCCCAGTGAGGCTCAGGAACAAGTAATTATAAATCCATAGGGCAAAGTCTCCAGCAGGCAAAACAATACAGCAGTATCGCAACAGCACTCCCAATAACTGGACGACACACAGTATCAGGAGCAGAACTAAAGATTTATTCACAGCAGCTCCTTATAAAGGATTCTCCAATGCAAGGGAGGGATTTACAGTAATTACAACAGTAACCAATGATAAAGAGGTTCCCTCCCCTACTTTCCCTCCCCTGAGAGTGACACTTAATCCACTTAATCCTGGATTAAGTGTCCCTAAAACCATGGGGTACCAGGACTTAAGTGGAATCCCCTGGTAGCTCTGGTCTGGGTGACCAACATACTCAAAATTCACCCAGATCAGACCAGGGGTTCGGGAGTTACAGGCATTTGACCGACCGCACACGAACATGTAGCCGAAAGGAGTTCCATGCATTCTGGCCCTGCGGTCGGTCTTCGTTCGGGAGATGAACTAGGCATAAATCTCCGAACGGGGAGCCGATTAGCCCCTCCGCTCGGTAGTTCTGGAGCTCTGGAGGTCTCAGCGGTGTTCGCGCAATAGAGTTTCCGATTTCAGTTTCAGACACTCGAAGACCAAACACCGCTGAGAGTTTGTGCGTAAGATGGCCGCCGCCACGTGTTCGTCTACCGAATGGCGGCCACCCAGATACATCAATAAAACTTCAATTAGCTGCGGTTACAAAGGGAATAAAGGTTTAACGAGGGACACACTTCAGCTCTAAGGTGGTCTATGTATTCGGTAGTTTCCATTCATATGACTATGAAGGAAACTACCGAACTAACATACGAACTTAGATGCAATTTTCACTATACAGTCAGTTAAAACAGACGAACAGTCTTTTAAAACATGATTCTGGTGGATAGTCACCGCGGCCATCCGCTACACTGCTCCCCCTTGCCCACAAGCCGGCCTACACAGTCTGATCCCACACGGATCGGCTTGGGGATGTCCGGATGGCTCATGGATCATTGTTCAAGGTCAGTTTGTCTGGACAACCCATCGGCGTTGCCATTCTGTTTTCCCGGGCGGTACTGGATGTTAAAGTCAAACGGCTGTAGCGCCAAACTCCAGCGTAACAGCCGGGCATTGTCTCCTGCCACCCGGTTTAACCAAACCAATGGGTTGTGATCCGTGAGCAGGGAGAAAGACTGTCCGTACAAATAAGGTTGCATAGGGTATGCATCGGATACTGTCTTTTTGTTTAACATCCTGTAGTCCACACAGAAGCGAGTTGTGCCATCTCGCTGGGGTACGAGGACTACAAGGGAGGCCCAGGGGCTATCTGACTGTTCAATCACCCCCAGTTGCAGCATCTCCTCAATCTCCTTGCCCATGTTTTCCTTCACCACTTTAAGGATGCGATAATGGGTTTGGCGCATGGGAAGTTGTCCCAGGGTCTCTACCCTGTGAGTGGCCAAAGGAGTGTGCCCAGGTATATTGGAGAATGTGTCCTGTTTCTCCCTTAATAACTGTTGTACCTCGGTACGCTCCTGTGGGCTCAGCCGATCCCCCAGAGTAACTTCCCCCAAATCCCCGGACAGTCTGCCGTCCACCAGTAGATCTGGGAGGGGCAGGCTGTCGAACTCTTCATTTGAGGGGGCGCAACTTGCGGTTACTTCCTCTGAACATTCCCGGTAGGGCTTCAGCATGTTCACGTGGATCATGCGTCGCTCCCCAGTCCCTGTGCAGGCGTCAATTATATACATGGTGTTGCATCTCTGCTCCATCACTTTATATGGGCCCTGCCAGGAGGCCTGCAGCTTATCATGTCAGACCGGTTTCAAAATTAGAACCTTCTGCCCAACCTGAAAGCTGCGGTCCCTGGTGCCCTTATCATACCATGTGCGCTGGTGCGTTTGAGCCGCCTGGAGGTTCTCTCGGACTGACTTGGTCAACGCTTCCAAACGCTCTCGAAATGCCAGTACATATGGTACGATGGGGTACCGTCTGCGCTCCGGTCTCCCTCCCAGTGTTCCCTGATCAGATTAAGGGGTCCCCTTACTCTCCGCCCAAACAGTAACTCAAATGGGGAGAATCCTGTCGATTCCTGCGGCACCTCCCTGTAGGCAAACAGGAGATGGGGAAGGAACCTATGGGTGTCTGCAAAAGTGCGGAGCATTTGCATCAAGGTCCCGTTGAACCTTTCGCATAGCCCATTGGTCTGGGGGTGATAAGCTAATGATCGGTTTGATGTCACAACATTTCCAGAGGCTTTGGGTGACCTCTGCAGTGAACTGGGTGCCCTGATCCGAGATGATCTCTCTGGGTAACCCCATCCGAGTGAAAATCTGCATTAGGGCCTCAGCCACAGTTTCTGCGTGTATGTTAGTCAGGGCAATCGCCTCTGGATATCGGGTGGCATAATCCACTATAGTTAAAATATACTTTTTCCCAGAGGGGCTGGGTCTTTGCAGGGGTCCTATTAAATCTACCGCTATTCTGCTGAACAGTTCCTCGATTATGGGCAGCGGGTGCAATTTTGCCTTCC